AAATCGATATAAATTTCACAAAGTGACACACACACAACAATTTAGTTTTGGCCACCAATTTTACAAAGTGACACACACACAACAATTTAGTTTTGGCCACCAATTTTACAAAGTGACACACACACAACAATTTAGTTTTGGCCACCAATTTTACAAAGAGACACACACTACAATTTAGTTTTGGCCACCAATTTCACAAAGTGACACACATAACAATTTAGTTTTGGCCACCAATTTCACAAAGTGACACACACTACAATTTAGTTTTGGCCACCAATTTTACAAAGTGACACACACACAACAATTTAGTTTTGGCCACCAATTTTACAAAGAGACACACACTACAATTTAGTTTTGGCCACCAATTTCACAAAGTGACACACACTACAATTTAGTTTTGGCCACCAATTTTACAAAGTGACACACACACAACAATTTAGTTTTGGCCACCAATTTTACAAAGAGACACACACATCAATTTAGTTTTGTCACAACCATATCTATAACTTTAGATATTTTACTTTGATGTTATTTACTTACAAAACAAGCGGTAGTCCCTCTGTCCAGCTTACATTGTTCATCTAGAGACAGCAGGGACCCAGGTAGAACACGGGGTAAAAATTCGTTTTCATGAGGAAAATTATACAAACAACTAGCCGTATCTCCACTACAAGAAACAAAATAAAAATTAATTAATGTAAACAGAAAATTAAAATAGATTATACCTTAAACTCAAAATTTCATTCTTTCTTCACGCAATATAAACAGCTTAGTCAAACAATAAGAAAAGTAGAACTGATAGTTCTCGTTATGGCCGATAAGAAACGTTTCGCCATTGATCTGTAAATTATGTAGGGTCTTACTATTTCCTGGAATTAATGATATTGAAAATGTGTGTCAATATTGAAAATGTTATTGATATGTGTGTCAGTCTACCAACTAGTGTGGAATCAGATCGTGACATATCAACAAATTGTGATACTATAGTCGTGTGTGTGTGTGTGTGTGTCAGTCTACCAACTAGTGTGGAATCAGATCATAACATATCAAGAATTTATGATACTGTAGTTGTGTGTGTGTTAATATACCACCTAAGTGAACTCATACTATAGCATGTGATAAAGCAATTCTGTTGAAAGGACACAGATATAGTCACGTCAAACAATTAACAAAACAGTTCAGAAAATTCTTGATAATTCAAAACTAAATTCCAGATTTATTATCAAATGTATAGCATTACCTCATTATTGTAATTCTTGTATTTTGAACTAACCTATCAGAGGGAAAATAGTTAATTAAACAGCACCCACTGCCAACTCTTGAGATACTCTTATCCGCCAATAGAGAAATTTCATCGTCACTAGTATAATGCCCCCCCCCTCCCACGAATCCATATGGGGGAGTGCAATTTTACAACAACGGGAATCTAAACATAGGTCCACGTGTTCCTGGTCCCACACGCTAAACACTTGGCCATGCCTGGCCTAATCACTTTATTTGATACATATATAGCCTTAATATAAAATAAAACTACTAATCGGTCTCCTTAGATTTGTTTTTGTTCCAATAGCTTTCTTCTGAACAGTTAACAATAACAAAGAAAGACGCGTCAATAATTAGCTACAGTGGCTGAACGTTCTTGTTTCTAATTATATTTAGTTTATGAATATCTTCATCCAATATAAGCCATTCATCGTGGATCTGGCGAAACGGTTTTATATACTTCCCAAGTCATTCATCATGGATCTGACGAAACAGTTTTACATACTTCCCAAGTCATTCATCGTGGATCTGGCGAAACGGTTTTATATACTTCCCAAGTCATTCATCATGGATCTGACGAAACAGTTTTACATACTTCCCAAGTCATTCATCATGGATCTGACGAAACAGTTTTACATACTTCCCAAGTCATTCATCGTGGATCTGACGAAACAGTTTCACATACTTCTCAAGTCATTCATCATGGATCTGACGAAACAGTTTTACATACTTCTCAAGTCATTTATCATGGATCTGACAAAACAGTTTTACATACTTCCCAAGTCATTCATCGTGGATCTGACGAAACAGTTTTACATACTTCCCTCTTGAACTTCATTTACTTTTATAATGTGGTTTAGAATTTTTTTCAGTCAGCAATTTTAACTTTTAGGCACCTCAGACTTACAAGGTTTCCCCATCACTGATCATCTATAAAACTCTGCATCTAAAAATTGTAATACAAGATATGTAGAACAGGGCAGAAGAGATCACTTACCTAAGAAAATGTTTAAACTGACTTAGACTGCACCTCGACCATCGGAATCCTCTCTCTGTATGGCGGAGATCACTCATGATGAATCCATCCTCCCAAGGACATCGTGTAGCTCCTGGTCCCCCTAAGTAGCTGGGGGGTGGGGACCCGTCATGCACGCAGCCTAACCTTAGGAACGATAGTTCATTTTCGCATTGAAATACACAATCATGAAATTTTCTCGAAAGAACTACTTTCAATAGTTAAACTTGTTGTTAAGTACCTGTGAAAATTTTCCAATTTACCTCAGTTTTCTATGTACACATCATTCGCTTTCCAATATTCACGACTCTAAAATCACTTGATGCAAGTTTACTATTCAAATCGATCTTTGGAAACTCTTTTTCACTCGTATGGCTAGGGATACCAATTAATTTCTGTTTCTACAGAGGAGGAGATAAAGTTGGATTGGTGGAAATTCTTAGAGAAGAAATTCAGTTTGGAAGGAAATTGGTATTTACAGGAGAACAGCCCAGTTTGGAATGAAATTGGCATTTACAGGAGAACAGCCCAGTTTGGAATGAAATTGGCATTTACAGGAGAACAGCCCAGTTTGGAATGAAATTGGCATTTACAGGAGAACAGCCCAGTTTGGAATGAAATTGGTATTTACAGGAGAACAGTCCAGTTTGGAATGAAATTGCCATTTACAGGAGAACAGTCCAGTTTGGAATGAAAGTAGTGTTTACAGGAGAGAAGTTGAGTTTGGGAGGAAAGTGGCATTTATAGGAGAAAGGTCCAGATTGGGGGGTATTATGTAGACGACAATAACATCAACAGACAATATCATTTTGATTCACTCTCATACAACCACTGAATATCATCTCAAAATGTAAAACCTGGAAACGCTTCTTACGTAGCAACATGAACAGTTATGGTAAACATTATTGATATAGCACCAAAATTATACTAAAACGAATTAACATTTTTCTGAGATAACCCAAGGAAAATTAAACTTAATTGGAGCTATTTAGTAGAAAAACATTTGACTATGCAATGGATTAAAACCGCCGTTTTGTTAAGTCGTTTGGCTTGAAAGTTAAAAAAGGAAACAGTTTAGTAACAGTTTAATGAATCAAAACATCGTCTGTTATCAAAGTCGAAGCATATATATATATATATATATATATATATATAATGTGTACGTTATAAG